GAAATACTACGTGGTTCACACCATCCAGCCATCTCCTTGATATACACGTACGGCTAGCCTAGCTCATGTCTATTCCCTCTTTATCATAAATCTAAGATCCTTTCTTTTTATTTCTTGATTAGTTTTTTTTTCAAATTTAACCATATTTACAAAAAAAATAATAACATCTATAATATTAAATTAGTTTTATATTAAATCTAGCATTGAATATATTTTGATAATATATTTGCTTTGTATTAAAAATATTGCTATGTTTTTCTATAAATTTAATCAAACTAAAAGAAATTTGACTAGAAAAAACGTCTTATAATATGAAACAGATGGAGTATATTATCTCCACACCCCCATTTGTCACTAATCCGCATAATGTGTACTAGTCCAGCTTATGTGCCTTGGCCTCTTAATGCATGGATCTAGAAATATTTTAGAGTCTAGACAAACTTAACTAGAGCTAGTATCTGATATAAAATTTCTATCTTCAATCCACTTATGAACCAAACAATTGATCAGAGTCATCGGGCCTTGGATCGGCCAGTGTGTAGGTCAAATCTTACATGCATATAACATATCGTGACAACATATTCACTACTACATACTATTGCTGTTGCTACTACAGAACGCATGAAACATAGCACCTTATCAATGCCGGTTTGCCAATAACCGACACTGACATATAGGTCCTAGTCAGTAGTTAGACATTCGTCGAAATATCAATATCAAGTGACTATAATAGGGTCGAAACCCTAGCTCAACCTACTAGCTTCAATCCTCAAAATCCATTACCACCTCTATTCCTCGTGGTCGATTGAAGGTTGCCAGACTCCACCTTTCCTCTCTCTTCCTCAAGTTCTTCAACTGCTGAAGTTTGCTGGCAAAACCCTTGTGGCCGCCACCCTACTCAACCTTACTTTGCTGCCGACCAGGCTACAAGGGGCTGGCCACATCCTAGATAAAATCCGTACCTATATTACATTGGGAATAAGTTCGGTGATGTAAAAATATATTTTGAGAGTTCAAATATTTAGATGATAAAGCTGAATAAGTTTAAGGACCGGCCATACCCTTTACGTGTAAAAGAAATATCTGTAACATAAGTTGGCCGGGATGAATATGTACTGGAACAAAAAGAGGCAGGCATGAATAGTTGCTTTAGCTCCTTAGGAAGGTCGACCGAAGCTGCAGCAAGAAGCAATAACAGAGCAAGTTGTTGCACGCATGACATTCGTAGTTGCGGCGGCCGGCGAGATATATTGGCCTGCATCATGAACGACACAACTAGTAGATGATAGCTATAGTTCTCGATCGATCGATCGACCGGCTGCTGGCTAGCTGTTGCTCACTCGATCACTCTCCAGGGGGCTTGAAGCTTCCTGCTTCACCTTTGTGCTTGTACGTACAACGCATCATCAGTACTGACTTGGCTGCTCCTCCTTTTTGCCGTCTTAACACCACAGCCACTAGCTAGCTAGCTGCTCCATCCGTCCCAAAATATAAATATAAGCGTTTTTTACCCTAATACGGTCTCCAAGATGCTAATTTGACCAACAATATCTATAAAATTAAGATGTTTTAAATAAAAAGAGTTGCATATTATGATATTTTGTTTAATGATAAATCTAGCTAGTAATATCAACTTTACATGATTGATTTTTTATATTTTATTTATTATTAATAGTCAAAGTTAAAAATGTTTGACTTATCACTTTGCTAAAAATGCTTATATTTTGGGACGGAGGGAGTAATGATCAGCTGCAATAATACTGTATACCACTGCATATATATGCAATTTGCTGAATTATTGAAGTCGATCGTATGTACTAGCATATGTGTGCTTTGGTAGCTGCTAGCTAGCTATATCTGATGCTATATGAATCTTGGAAGGAAAACATATACATGCATGCATGCACTAGTAAGTACAGGGCAGACATGAATTGGTATCATGCACTTTGTTCAGTTCCCTGATCTGATCATCATCAGTAATGTGATGTGTACTAGCTAGCACTTTGAACAGGGAGAGAGCTTAGTTCATGGCAGATCGATCGATCGATCTCTATGCATGTGTGAAACAGCAACCTTAGAGAAGTAAGCCAACTATAAACATATTTTAAACAGATAAAAAAAAAGAGAGAAGAGTAAGTAGGCTACAGATCTGTAGCTAGATGCAATACGAACTCCAAGACATAATGTGTGTATGACTGGTGGGACCATATATTAATAATATAGTAAGCAACTATTATTGAATTAGCTATTACATTGACTATATATGATTTGGAGCGGATAGTTAGCTTATACTATTAAACTTGCTCTTAGCTCGAATTAAAGGGTGATCGATTTGACACGCGCGGTTTCCGAGGAGAGAAATATCAACTGATGAGCGCGTGTGGACGCAGAGATCGATCGAGATAGATAGAGTGCAGCTCGAGCTGGAGAGCACCATATGTATGTATGCAAGCAGAGCCACTCACAGCCGCCTGCTATTCTAGTTTAGATTCACTGATCATCACCTCACCTCACCTACCTCGCCGCTAGCTGCTTCAGCCGATCCAGGATCATATATATGCATCTGCAGTTGCATTGCACCTAGAAATTAAATCAATTAACCCAGGATATAATATATATACATGCATACACTTAGTGATACATGTAGGCCATTTACACTGCAGAAGCTTTAGGATGAATGAATGAATGATCTTGTTCCTGATCTAATTATGATGATCAGGTGAGCGGCTATTGGCTCTCACACTCTGACCAGCGCTTTAGCTGTAAGCGACCTCACCTACCTACCTCCATTGTTGCCCCATGATGAGCATGCCTGCCCTAGCTTAGTGGCTCACTTCGTCCCAACACTTACATACTACTGCTACATATCTGATCGATCTAAGACCCTGTTTAATACAGCTTCAGCTCTAGTTCTACCTCTTCTGGAGCTGAGGTTCAGCCAAACAGTTTCAGCTTCATCTAAGATGAGAGCGGAGCTGGATGGAGCGCTCTCACAAAATAAACTAGAGATGTGGAGCTAGGTTTTGGACGCTCCACAACTTTACTCCATACTTAATTTCTGAAGCTAAATTTTAGAGTTGGAGCTCTACCAAATAGGGCTTAACAATACTATATCAATTCACCGCTACAAGGAGTCAAGTACTCCCTTTGTATTGTACCTAAATATAATTAAGCAGTTCTAGCCTTCTAGGTTGTTTAGGAATTATTCCCTTTCAGTCATTTGAATGGTCAAATTTTGAAATTTTAAGTTACTATACTACTTGAATTCCTTTTCTAAGCATCTGGATGGGCTGAAATGGTTAGATTCCCATGCATTGGAATCGATGCGTCCCTTAAAAATATATACTTATACCGTGTATAAAACTTAAATCCTAGAAATACTTATACTAAACTTTAGTACTTTCTCCGTCCCAATATATAATAACTTTGGACCGAATTTGATATATCCTACTATGAATCTAGACATGCACTCAAATACGGTCCAAGGTTGCTATATATTAGGACGGAGGAAGTACTTGGTATTACTTTTTCTTTTTGTTTTTTTAGGAATGGAGAGGTTGGGAAAGAGAAGGATATCTAGCAGGAGGATATCCTACCTAGCCAGCATGCATGTACAGGCAAATTAGGGCAGCAGATGGATGGATCATGGATGGATGGATTGGATGCAGCTGACACTGTGCCACGCTTGCTCCTACTAGAAGCAACGCGTGCAGCATATTCATCCATCAGCTAATGCGATGTGAGGCGCCGAATATTCATCTCTCCACCGGGCGGCCACCAGTGGATGGGAGCCAATTCTTTTCTCCAGTAAGATTTAGATGAAGATAAAAATTTTCATGGCATGCTTTTCAAACTGCTAAACGGTATGTTTCGTGTGAAAACTTTCTATATAAAAGTTACTCTAAAATATTATATTAATCTATTTTTCAAGTTTATAACAATTAAAACTTAATCAACCATACATTAATACCATATTGTTTTGCGTAAAAAAAATTAATCTTTATTTTTAAGAGAAATGAACACCAACCGCTGTTGCTGCTGCTCTCATTGTGAGCACCAACGTACGACCAATTCAGATTCAGCTTAGCTATAGCTCAACGTACACATGCATGTACTGCAAGTCTGCAACCAATACGATCCAGATTTTCAGAGTACAGTACAATTATTGCTACTACCAAGTCGGCCATGCCGGTCGATCGATCGATCTCGGCTTCGACGCTTTTAGTTCGTAGAGTAGAATTAAAACGTGCTTGAATTGATCATGTGATGAAGTACAGCGTGGACTCCATGTTTGCATCAGATTATCTCAGGTTGGCTCCTTACATTCCCAGTAGGCAGATTCGTATGTATGTATGTCTACCTGCTGCAACCAAGGCCCAGATAGAAAGACACAGGCCCATCTAGATAGAATACAGGAAGCTCGCAGCTGGAGTAGCATTTTGCAAGGAAATAGAAGACCAAAGGTTGACTACTTGGGTCACAACTCATATTATTCTCTTTGATGGATATATTGACTCAAAACTCTACAAAAACTGGGGATCCATAATTAATTTTCAGCAATAGATCTTACAAGCTAATTTTATACACAGCTGGTTCAGCATTGGAGCTGAGTTTTTTTTTGTTGGTTATCCACAATTTTAGAAACTTAACTGCTTGTTTGTTGGGCAACTCGAGGAAAAGGATGCTGAGATTAAGAGGAGAATTTGATTTTTAATCTCAGTATCTTGTTTGGTAGAGGTAATGGAAATTGATAGAGAGTTTAGTTAAAGATTAGATCATTAATGATAACGGATGGCTAAAATTTATTTAGGCAAACTAAAGGAGGAATTCTCTCCCAATTACCACCTCTACCAGGTATTCAAAAGGAGGGAACCTCCACCAGGTATTCAAAAGGAGGGAGTTCCTTCCTCAATTCCGCATTCCCACCAAAATTCTCATATCTCCCAACCAAATAAAACAACTCCCCAACGATTAATAGCATCATCCCTCTAAACTTCTAATCCCTCCAAAAACCTCCAACCAAACAGGCCGTAAATGGCATCCTGGGAAGCATCAAGAGAAAACCAAAATACGTCTGTTCCAACAAATATATATACAGATACCCCATCCAAACCGGAAGCTCTTGGGCTACTTTTCTTAAAACACCAGACACACATACAGCGCATGGAAGCTTCGTGTGATATCATGCACTACCAAAGACAAAGCAACAGGAAGCGTGTTTGGAATTACACAGATGATCCAGGACCTTTACCCTGGCGCACATGGTAAACAAATTGTACTTCATGGTAGTTCAATGCACAGGGTCACTCTGATTCTGAAGTTCCAGTTCTATTAACCCAACTTGACCGCCTTGAATGTGTGCCAGCTCGTCCTTTCATGAGATCAGCTGGAAGGTCGTCCCTGCTCAGATCTGGGGATGCATGCGTTAGTCTACCCTCTTTCTCATCCAAAAAGCCCCCGAGACCTGCTTCCAAGTCCCTGATATCAGCTGCTGTCCTCGGTTCATCCCAAGGCACCGGCTTCCTGCCCATTTCAAGATCCCCAACAGGTTTGCCCATGTTGGGGCTCATAAAACCTCTTGATGCTACACGGGTTTGCTGTAGCCCTTGCTCAACTGTGACCCTTGCCCGGAAATTGTTCTTTGAAGGAGGAATACGGCTGCAGAATATCTCTAGAAAGTTGTTCAGAACGCCTCTGTTATACGGGTTAGCCCGTCTATCGTAGCGATACCTGAAGTTCTCATAAGTTGTCTGCAAAAGAACAGGGCTACATGATTAGCTAATGAATTGAAATCGTTGTGTTTAGGAAATTAATGCTGAATCGAACTAATACCTACCTGGTTGGTGCTCATCAAATAGCAATGGAAGACAGAAAGACCACCAACAAACCATACACAAAGGAAGCAGTAGATGATCAAAACGATTGAGGCTGGTGTCTTTAGCATTGCCTTCCAAACTGACAAACTCTCAGCATTTCTAATCTTGATTATGTACACCCAACAGAAAGCAAATACGTAGAGGCAGAGTAACGTGGTCGAGAATACAAACATGTAGAAGAACCGATAATTACGCTGCACCAAATATGCTTTATGATTAGGCTCAAGTTGATTTGAAGAGAGCTCAATGAAAAGCACTGGAAGAATAACTCCAAACAAATACGCACATGTCTTTCCTACGGTAAGGATAGGTACAGAACTGCTGGAAAAACATGATACTTACAAGTCCTATGCATTGGCCAACCCATGGACAGTGATGATCAAACCGTTCCACACAGTTGTTGCATATCGAACAGTGTGAGCATCGAGGTGGCCGGTAAAGCATGCATGTGTCACAGTATTTAATCCTCACACTGATTCCGTTTACAATGACATCCTTTGTCCGAGGCAGACGCAACTGTTGTGGAGTCTGAACTCCAGAATCATTGCTCCCATCAAAGCCTTCAGGCTCAGGAGGATGAGTGTTACGAGGTATAATACCAGGATCTCTACCAGAAGTAAGGAGAAGCAGCGTCAAATCCTATAAAATGAAAACAAATTAGTTATTTGTATATTTTGAAAATGTATAAACCTTAGAAATACATGCAGAAAAAATTATGACAAGCAACCATGGTCAGTGCAAGATCTGGGACACTAAATGAAACCATTTCAAGGGAGATGTGATGGCTAAGAATTCCACTGCTTATTATTATAAGATGTGAAGAAAAGAAATAGTGACTGTACAAGTATGCTTACATAAACGGTGAAGACAACCACCACAACCATCACCGAGATACCCCAATCACCGGGAAAGTCATCAATGAGGTGTCTGGCGACAAACACGCAGAAGGCCACCACTGGTGCAACGATGAGGAACATAGTGAGAAATATGGATCTCACATCAGGCCCAAATATAAACCTCCCTCGCAAGAAGAATTCCTTCAAAATACAAAATATAAATGGATACCATCAGAACTCCATCAAATCCAATTGCAAGCACTCATAGCAAACATTATATTTGTTTTTCGTGCAATACTCAGACAACTTAAATAACAACAGAGAGAAGCTCTCCCCTGTATGGAGGACCTTACGCTTATATTGTGCTATCGGCTTTTAGGTTAAAGCTGAAGCTCACCAAAGCAGGGCCTGATGGCATTTCAAAATTCCACTGGATTATCTCCGAGTTTGTATGCTAAAGAAGTACAAGTTGACCAATGACTAACAAACTTCTATCAAGAACATGTTGTTACCAAGCCAAATGCCCAAATGTATAAGGAAATAAAATGCAATATATTGTAGAGCTCAAGTCACACTCACATGACACAGCTCATCAAAATATTTAGCATGAAGACCAGCGTATATCTTAAGAGTTAGCTACAAGATTTGTTGGTCCACTAGCAAATGCAGATCTCGATTCTGAATCATGTCAAGTGAAAAACAAAAGGCAGAACCAAATGTATCACAAGATGAGGTACAAAATTTCTGCAGAAAAAAGTCTTAGAACTTATGAAACCGTTAACTTCTAAATTTAGCTAAAGTCATGAACTCATGATTATCAGTTTACGATTGATAGGCAATATCTTACTTGTATAACTTCGAACTGTGCACAGATGCTCGCTTCATTCCTATTTTGACTAGACGAATTGTTTTCAACTAGCATAGACATTCTCACCATAGATACTGAACATGATCATTAAACTGGCAGATAACAAAACAACTCCAACTCAAATCTATCCATTTTCCTCTTGGTCATGTGAGTTAAAAATGACAAAACAAATAAGAGCAAAACCAAAATAACTAATTATCGATGATACTGGGACCTATGTTTCCAGCTTCTTATGACAACACAAGTGAACATAACTGTCACAGCACACTAATAGTCTAATATAGAGTTCATAAACAGTCATTTCCCAATCAGGTGTGAAGCAAAGAGTCCCAAAATCGAACACCAGGTCCTCCAATCACGCTGTAGGATCGATCTCCAAAAACGTAAACCGAACCCCCACTACCAAATCACATAAAAAACGAGTAATTCCCCCAGCCGATCCCTCAGATAGCACTCCCATCTCACCGATCACTGCGCATAGTGCGCCGCTAAGTACAGATCCAGCTCCAGCTTCACCCTGCGGCAAAGGCGAGAGAGAGAGGGAGAGAGAGAGAGAGAGAGAGAGTGCTTACGTTGCTTCCCCGCCAAACCTGGTAAACCCTAGGCTGGTCGCCGGCGTCGCGGCCGGCCGCATCGGAGCGAGATGGCTGCGGCACGTACATCCCGCCGCCGCCGCTGATGCCGCAGGGCCCCCCTCAACCAAACTCCTCGTCAACGACCGGTGAGCCCGCCCGCCCGCCCGACTGAACCGACCACCAGCGGCGATGGTCCCCCCACTCACCACCACCACCACCACCGTGGCCTACTCCGCCGCCGCCGCCGCCGCCGCAGCCGAGACGGGCCCCCCCGCGACGAGGAGGTGGGGGTTGCGGGGGAAGAGGGAGAGAGAGAGAGAGAGAGGAAGGGGAAAGGGAAGGTCTTCGGGTTTGGGGGGGTGGAGGTGGGTCGCGTCGGGCGGCAGCGCAGCGGCCAAAAGACCGAAAGCGACGTGGTCTGCGGTCCGACGGGGCGGGCGCGCGAGGGTGGGGCCCACGTCTCGGTGGGTGGAGGAAGCAGCATAGTCAGCCCTGTGTGACGTCTTGGTGACGTGTTCTTTTTTATTTTTATTTTTATATATTCATGGGCCGCGAGCCTCTGCCGTTTGGTTTTGGGCCGGGGGCTGCTGGCTGGCTCGTTTCATGCCGCTGTTGCATCCTTGGAACGGCCCGTATTCAAATTAGTTACTCCATCGAGGAAAAACTCCACTTTAACTCCCTTAAAAAAGTACTCCCTCCGTATTTTAATGTATGACGCCATTTGACTTTTCGACCAACATTTAACTATTTATTTTATTCAAAATTTTTGTGCAAATATGAAAATATTTATATCATGCTTAAAGAACATTTGATGACAAATCAAGTCATAATAAAATAAATGATAATTACATAAATTTTTTGAATAAGACGAATGGTCAAACATTGGATAAAAAGTTAACGGCGTAATACATTAAAATATGGAGGTAGTAACTTGAATCTAAATCGTATAGGGCGATTCCCCGAACTGAAACTGTAGCTAACCAAAATAAAAGTTGATGTATCTCGTTTCGTAGGAAGTGAAACTGTAGCACAATCATCATGTTGGAGGGAAGCTTGAACTATACATGTGTTTCCAGTTTAACAACAAAAGCTGAGAACTATGGTCTTCCCAGTCTAGCAACAAGAAAACTTCAGTTGCATAAAATCACCTGGAGAATCCCCTTAAGAAGGATAATCAGATAAAAAGGACTTTAAGATTTGTAATCACCATGGATGAAATTTTTTTTATGTGACTGTTACAAGTTTATTCTCCCTTCAAAATTTTTTGGGACAAATAGAACACTTCAATGCTTCTTAATTAATACTCCCTCCGTCCCAATACAAGTACAACTAATATAGCATCTAGATTCATAATACTACGATGTCACATCTATACTAGGTTGCACTTGTATTAGTACAGAGGGACGGAGGGAGTAATAAGCGAACTTATGGTTTATAAATCATCAATGGTGACTATTGCATCCAACATGAAGAACTGCAGAGACTACAAATTAATCATCTTCCAGCTTGCCAGTTCTAATCTAAAAACTTAGAAGGAAAAATGAAAACGAAGGCATCAGGTATCCACTCAAGCAAACTCGAGGAATGCAAAGATAAGGTACCATTAAGCAAATAAAAGATTAATCAATATCATTGCACTGCGGAAGTAATAAGCATTATGCCTAGAGATTGCCTGCAATATAAATGGGGCGTCGCCGGTAGAGATCAAAGCATCACATGACAAAAAACTGGAGACAACAGCGCGCTTTTGTCCCAGAATTACATAAAACAATTCACTGTTAAATTTGTCATTGTTCACATGTTCAAAGGAAGCTAAGTGAAAAAAAAAAGAGGCATTTGATATAAGTAGTCCACTTCAGGTGCTGCCATGCTACTGCATCTCAAACCGTTTGGCGATGATCACGCTCATGTCAAGGAACCTCTGAGCGCAGTTGGTCAGGCAAGTCGTTTCCCCGGAGCTGAACTTGCTTCCTGGAGTGCTGGTGATGCACTTGTCCCAGCACACGCTTGTGAGCTTGCCGACCATCTCGCTCACCATTGCCTTCTGCTGCTCTTGCTGCAGAGTTATATTCAGGTAAGAATCAGCTGTGAACTTGTAAGAGATATCTAAAGGGTCAGCATCAACTGAACATACTAGTTATAGTTGACACACAAGAAACAGATTTCTCCTATGCTCATCAATCCCAACATCAACATATATGGTGCCATGTTTTAAAATAGCATGGGCCTATGCATTAAACAAAACTATGGCGAGAAAAAAAAAACATATGTAGAATAATCGTGCATAATTGGTTTGTTCACGGCAGGATTTTTCTAGTTCTATGAAGCATGATGCAATGCACAAATCTGGCGGTATTCCTGTAGAGAAATTAAGTAGCATGACTGTGTTGCTTCGAAGGATCATTCCTTCAAATATTTTGATACAACTAGGTGGTCTACATGTACATGGAGATTTCAATGAACCAGATAAGGAACCATCAGTTCCAATCAAAACATGTGACAAGTGGAGATACAAACTAATGGCATATGTGTAGGCTCGACAATCCTGAATCCCCACAATAGAGGACAGTAAATGCCCCAACTGAGCAACCTACTCATGAATAAATTAACAAGTATTCCCATGAATAAATCATAAATTTACATCCTTCACTCCACATCGCATCGTCATGCTTCGTCTAAACAGAAAACTTCAGATCCGGAGCTACCTAATCGCACCAACAAAAGTAAAGTGGGACAAATCCCATCCCACTTTCACAACACAAAACGCATAGAGCTAAGCAGTCGGTGCTCGGTGAATCAATCACCCACATGACCAAAAATACACCGAGACGGAGCCCTAAAATTCAGTAACAGAGTAGTACACGCCCCCACGGCACCACACGAGATCATAAGCCGCGGCAAGGAGCACTCACCTCGATGAATCTCTGCATCTCGGCGGAGTTCTCCATGGCTCCGAGCCTCCAAAAACCTAAAACCCTAGCTACGCTTTTGCTTGGAGCCGACGAGAAGGGGAGGAATCGCGAAGCCGCCGCCGCCGCCGTCGTCTTGCTTGGTATATCATCTCCACGAAGCGGCTTTATTGGGCCATATACGGGGGCCCTTAACGGGCCGGGCCGGGACCGACCATGTGGGCCTCCACTTGATCTAGGCCCAACGTGAGCCCATCTGCAAGACGGAATATTCGGTGTCCGAAACGGAATATCCATTCGAATGATCCCTCCGCCACGGTGGAACATTCCAACGCCGTGATGTCTCTTTGTCTAAAAATATTCAAATCCTTTTCTTCGCGTCAACCAACCAACCACCGCAAGGTCCACGCCTCCTCCACCAATGGCGCTCCCGGCGGCGACGGCCCGCGCGGCGGCGCTGTGCCGGATCGCGGCGTGCGCGTCGGCATCGTCGGCGGCGGCGGCGGCGACCGGGGGGAGGCGCGGGGCGGAGAAGCTGCCGTTCTCGCTGGCGGAGCGGGGGATGGTGGTGGGGGGGCACCGCGGGATGGGGATGAACGCGGTGGGGGCGCCGCCGGGGGCGCGGATCGAGGCGGTGAGGGAGCGGGAGAACACGCTGCTCTCGTTCGGCCGTGCCGCCGCGCACGCCGCCGTCGCCTTCGTCGAGTTCGACGTCCAGGTATATATATGCAGCGCAGCCGAGTTCGACGTACGTGCTTCCATTTCCACGTTGTTGGTAGTACCTGTGTTTGTTTTGGACTTTGAATTGGATGTCAGTTTAGGCTTTGGATTGGTTGGTTTTGACACCGCAGCATCGCAATGCAAGATTTGGAAGCTAGCGTGCGTATGACTTGGATGTAGCTACTGATTGGTGTGGTGCTGGACATGAAATTTGCTAAGTACACAAGTATATTGCAAGCAATGTTCTAGCCAGGGAACTACATGGGACAAGCCTCACAAGTAGGAGTATCAATTTAATCGCATTTAACAAGGATCTAGATGCCACCATGCTAAATTGGTCAAGAATGAAGAATGGAGCGATTTTAGGTGGATGTTTTGCAGGGATGTAGCAGATATCCATTAGGCAGGTGCTAGGATTTGAAGTTGCAGTTCTTGTTTTGAGCTGCGGACGTTCTTAATACATTGCCAACTACTCTTAGATCATATTGCATTGGTGAAATCAAGTCGTTGGCACTGGGCCAGCAATCAATAGGATTCATTCTCTTCCAATTTTTTTGATTGGTACAATTGATTTCAGTTTGAGCATACAGTTATCCTGATGTACTGATTACCCTTTTGCCTTGCAGGTTACAAAAGATGGCTGCCCAATAATCTTCCATGATGACTTCATCCTAACACAAGAAACTGTATGTTCCTTTCTGCTCATTCTCTTCATTGTTATGCTCGGTTTACGTGGTACCCTGTTCATCTATGGCAGGAAGAGCGCCTGACTCTTGATTGTTCTTGCAAGATGTGTAGGATGCAGTCTATGCAAAGCGTGTTACTGATCTTCTCTTGGAAGAATTTCTTTCATATGGGCCGCAAAAGAATTCCCATGAGGTGATTTACTCCTTTTTTTGTTGGCTTCTGCTGTGCCAAGTTCATGGTTATGAATGCATTTTTGAGATGCCATTTTGTAAACTTGCCCTTATGTTGATTGTTCAGATCTCCAAGCCATTGCTTAGACGGACCAGCGATGGTAGAGTTGTTAACTGGAGCGCAAAAGATGATGATTCCCTATGCACATTGCAAGAAGTCTTTGAACGTGTCAGTCCTCGTCTAGGATTTAACATTGAGCTAAAGTTTGATGATGACATCTTCTATGAAAGGAGTCAACTTGACCGTGCGCTTCAAGCTGTATTGCAAGTATGGTTTGTTTCCTTTGTTCATGTAACACGATATCAATTAATTCACATCCAGTAATTTGGTCACTGTGAGGTGATGACCATAACACCATCATATGCTTTTTGATAGGTTGTTTCTCAGTATGCAAGCAATAGGCCTGTATTTTTCTCAACCTTCCATCCTGATGCGGCAAGGATTATGAGGGAACTTCAGAGCTTATATCCTGTAAGTATTATTAGAAACCTCTCATATTACATATATGAATTGTAAGGTCAAAATGTCAAATGTTTCCTCAGCATTTTAACTAGCTGTAATTTCGGTAGTTTCTTTGACACAAGTGAAGAAAAGAAAAAAAATCTTACATTAGCAGGTCTGTAACTTCCAAACTGAATATCAAAACCTATAAACCTTGTGCAGAACAATCAGGTTGCAAACTCGTGATGCACTTGTATTTCAGCCTTCTTATTACACCATATATCTTTCGGGATGTAGAGACCGAGTTTTATTTAATCCATTATCTAAAAAAATTACACCATATATCTGGTAGTTACTTGGGAAAAAATGATCATACGTAGAAGAAATTGAAGCACACCCAATAATTTAAACACAGCAGACTCTAAATACCTTCTTATGATGAGAAGTAGCCGATTACGAATTTTCATTGACCTGCAAAATGGATGAGAAATGTATGTAAATGCAGACAGCTTCAGTGTAAACCAATACTTTCTTATTTCTTTTAGACTGACATTTCTGATGTTAGATTGCACGGTTTTATATCCAATCTGGATGTGTAACCATTAGCATTTAGTAAAACGTTGAATAGGTCTTATCATCATCCTTATTTCTCGCACTCTTGCATTAGGTACTCTTCTTAACAGAAGGAGGAACAGCTCAACACAAAGATTCAAGAAGGAACTCACTTGATGAAGCTATCCGGGTCTGCCTAGAGTACGAGTTGCATGGACTTGTATCAGAGGTAAGAGGGGTTTTAAAGAATCCCTCTGCAGTCCTTAGAGCAAAAGAGTCCAACCTTGCACTTCTGACCTATGGGCAGCTCAAGTAAGCAGCATATTTGCCTAGTGTTCCTTCTGTTATGTTGGCGCTGCTCTTTTTTTCCTCAATCATCTTTATTCGTGGGTTTGCTGGTGGATTTGCAGTAATGTGTGGGAGGCTGTGTACATCCAGTATTTGATGGGCGTAAATGGCGTTATTGTTGATCTAGTGGAGGAGATCTCAAATGCTGTGGCAGATTTCAGTAAACCAGTCCTCAATCAGAGCATGCTAGGGAGTGGTGTCGACTTGGTTGGAGCAAAGCATCAGGCCTTCTCACAGCAGCAGCTGGGTTTCTTGCTCTGGCTTATACCTGAACTGATCCAGCAACCACACTGATAATACATAATACCCAAGAACAAGAGGTGGTTCAATTGGCTGAGTTTTGAGAGGTGTTTCAGGCCCTTGTCTTCAGTTGACCATTCAGATGAACTTACACTAGTTAGAACTTAGAAGATCAAAAGATACTATTGCATTGTTCTGTATAGAATCAAAACTCCACTCATCATTGGCTAATTCCGTTACTGCCGATCGTCGGCCATAGCTTTGTTGCAGATATGTTCATCACAACTTAACCAATATACACGTACAGCAATGTATTGCCACGCTTTTACAACACAGAGCAGTGTATTTCAGCGGGTTGGGCTGCTTTCATATGATCTGTAAAATGTTGAGTTGTGATATCCTGTTTGCAGATTCACTCTGTTTCCTCTGTGTGCCCATTGCTTTCTTGCAGTAGAACTGTCAACTAAGCTGCAGGCACAACAGAAGAATTTTATCTGAAGGCAACACACATATATAGTTGAAGTAACAGTAGTGATGAGCAAAATCAACACGTACAGTTTACTGAATGGCATGGCAAGTTGTGAAATCTCTTCAGCAAGAAATTGGGACGTTCTCACGTGCAGCTCAAATACGATTAAGCCTGTTCCAGTCACAAATTTATACTGCAAAAACAAAGCAGGAAGCAGCAGATTGTGCGTGTGCAGGACATGTCTGACAATCAGGCATTTTTTTTCTCTCTGCAATGTACACAGATTTGAGAACGTGGGGATGACTGCTCATTGTCCCCATGGCGACCTCGACTGAATCACTGATGAACCAACAATTGCTTCATTCATGCTGTGTCCCCTTCTCTGAACCTGGACAGAGGCCTTCTCTGAACCTGGACAGAGGAAAGCTGTTTGCAGATTGCAAGAGATTATGTGGTCTTTATTAATATACAGTATTTCAGATCTCATCTCCTTGTGCGACCTGGCAATTAAAGAAAGAGAATTATGATCTTGATGAAGGGTGAAAGAATCAAAGAAATACTAGCTACACCTATCACTGTCCGTGTTCTCCGATTTGTCCCTCCACAGGGTTTGCTTAATCTGGTTTAGATGTATACAAACCCTGCGCCACCGACGCGTCGGCGAGCAGAGCCTGACGGGAGACCGGAGACGGCAATCCATCAAGCAAACAGCAGCAGCGTGGCAGTCGACGGCGGTGGTGGATCTAGGTCTTTGTAGGGGAAAAAAAAAGAGAGGATAGTTTCCGTCCACCCTGGAGGAAAAGATCACATATACCTTTTGAAACGGATAATTCTCGTATAATTTGGATATTGATACGGATATGATATTGTGGTTTTTAACGGGTACGGATAATAATATAAATATCTCGTGAACAGTGCTATCGGATATACTTACTCCATTTCTCTATAACTTTATGACCTTAAATCTACCTTTTTAGATTTTAAATAGTAGTACATATTTTAACATTAGTCCACACTATTAATATTATTTAAATTTAAATATTTTAATAAATTATACTATATTTTATATAGAAAACTAATTATATACGATGACATTTGTTTATATTAGAAGTTGAGGTGGTTTCTGTGTTTCGAGAAAAAAGTATTTCCTTATTCATATTCAAGAGAATTCATATTTGTTTCTGCATCTGAACTATTCGTATTTATTTTTGCATCCAAAAAAGAAAATATAAAGACGAATATGATATGAGCATTCGTCTGTATTAGCTCTGTTTTTATCCCTATGTCGCGGAATAAACAGCAGGGACTTTTATGTGAAAATATTTGGACCGCTACGTTCGACTTAGGGCCTGTTTACTTGGATGAAAAAAAAACTTATCAAACTTTGGCATTGCAAAAATTTTGGTATAGTTACCAAAATTTTGGTAACTTGCCAAAATTTTGGCAGGATTTCTTATATAGTTACAAAAATTTGGCAGCAAACTAAATGTAGCCACTTTTTTTAACTTTACCAAAACTTGGTAAGGTTAAAAATGGCATCAAAGTGAACAGGCCCTTAGTTAGGGGGTTTTTGTGTAAAACATCATTTCGTTATGAATGGCCCAAAATCAAATGAGGGGTCATCTTGCAAAATACAAAAGGGAGTATACTACGCCGTTGGATCTAACACGAACGGCTCAGATATTCAGCTTTCCTTCCTCCCGTAATCCCCGCCGTCTCTCTCTCCTCGCTCCGGCGGGTTGGCCGGTCGCCGGTTGCCGGAGCCGCCTGCCCTGCCCTCTCCGGCCGGCGGGAAGCCGCCATTATCGCTGGTGGAACGCGGCGTTGACCGAGGGATGCGGGTGGAGGGCGGCCCGGCCGCAGAACGGGGGATGAATGCGGTAGGGGACGCCGACGGCGGCGGTGGCTAGGGTTGGGGAACTCACTGCTGCTCTCCTTCGATCGCGCCGCCGTTGCCCGTCGTCGAGTTGGGCGACGACCAGGGGCAGGTATACATGCCTCGTTCCCCATCATTTCCTGCCAATTTTGTACCTCTTCTGTTCAGATGTCGCCGTAGTGATCGTAGTGTGGTTGATCAGTTTGATCAATGTTGATTGTATGGAAGAACACCCAGATCCCTTCATAAATTTGGAGCTATAATAATTTGGTGAATTGATTGGTGTGATGATAACTGACTACTAACTCTAAGATGGAGATCACAATGAATTGCTAGTTTGCTACTGCTCATTTTCTGTGCTAGTTCTTGGCTTACTACAAATTAACAATGCAAAAGAAACAGAAGGCGGCAGCAGCAGCAGCAAGTGCTTGTGCAGTACATGTGCTTGCTCAGGTGGCTACAAAGGTCGGACACACTCGTGGATCGCAATAGCTCTCTCTTAAGTCCTAAGGAACTATATATGGTTCTACATGTTCCCAAATCACAGGCATTTTTTCTCTGCAAAGTACAGGTTCAAGCACATGGACCTGATTGCTCATTGCCTCACCCTGCCGACCTCAACCGAATCATTGATGAACCGCCAAGTGTTTCTTTCATGTGGCACTTCAATAAACATGGACCGGGAAAAAGATGTTTTGCAAATTGCAAGTGACTCACTCCACATGCATTTTTGGTCAGCACAAAAGAAAGCAAACACATCTGCTTATGCTGCTGCTGCTGCACTTGTGATTGTTCTTCCTTCTTTAATATTTCAGCTCTCTCACTAAAGAACGAAATGGTCTTGAGGAGGAGCCTCACAACAGCTGAAACAATAGACTGCCTATCACTGTCTGTCCTCTCTGATTTGTGCCTGCAGGGTTTGCTTAACCCGGTTTGGATTATATAAACTCTGTGTGAACAGCATGTCAGTGATCGAATGCCACGCCTATCAGCAGACGACAATGGAGGAAAGGAAAGGGGAGGATCGTTGGTCAATCCATCTCAGGGCTCCTCTGGCTTCCCTCAAGACAAAGGCATCAGGCTAATTTGTCTTCCCCAACCCTTGCCTGGATTCTTGATGGGGTCCTTGGCTTCTTTCAGCTCCCAATAATTTCCTACTAGTAGCAATAGACAAGTGGGTGCCCCTTTGTAGATAGACCATAGACGGCCAAGGGTTACAGAGTTGCTTCATGGACAAGGCCAACACAGATTAGTCAGAGGCATGCACCCCCACTCCAAAGGCATTGACAGTGGGCTGCACTGTGTGGGGGCTATGAAAGCAACCTGAAAAGGGATTTTTCATGGTGTGGTGCAAATGTGATGCATCATGCTTTGAAGAAAAGGATGCTAATTCAAGGCTTTAGCTTTCACTAATGGGGGTTTTCAATTCCTAATGTTCACATTGCTATGGTGGTGTTGTGAGTAAAAACTGTGCTGTGATGCTGAACGGGAGATGGCTTCCTAGGGGGGAAAATTTCTGAATTTCCATATCTTCCTATGATTGATCTTTACCTACCTCCGATGGGTAGATTGCTTTCTTGATTGCTTGCTTGCTTATTCTCTGCAAGATTTGAGGTTTTTCTTTTTGTTGAAGGAAGAAGTGTGACATCACCTCACGCTAGATTTGATTAGACTTGATGAACGACCCCCTCCTAATTCATTAACACATCAGGATCTCTAAATCCATATGTTCTCACTGGTCCAACCTTCAAGGCTTCAAAAAACAAATGAAAAATCTGGTCATGACATCGCGTGTTGTTCAACCGATATCGTTGACGACAAATCGACAAATAACATATTATCAATTGCTAGTATTTTGGTACCTGCGCTTTTTTGTTGTCAACCATGGTCAATTTATGGATTCTGTCAAGTGTCAACAATATTGCCTAGTGCTTGCCCTAAGTGTTGAAGGTGACCTGTTGCTTGGCCAGCCAAACTTCTGCCTAACCCTGTCCCTATTTGTGAACTGAAATCTGATTGTATGCATTCATCTTATAGTGGCTTGTTAGTGTATTTTCCTGTTGTTCTCTGCTACTATCTGATTTCTATGCTTTCAAATTTCAGACCCACCATGTGCAGCTATGTACCTAAAATTGGTCAGTTTTTTGCCTTTGATGAAACGATGGTATGGAGTTGTATTTTCTAGTGACCATGAGAAGATTGTAGTTGACATATTCTGTGTATAAGCATTTTGAGGTAGGTAAGAGGACCACGGTATCTTAAGAATATTTTAAATAGTGTAGCTTATTTAGACAGAGTATGTTTTTAGGTTATGGAAGCTGAAAGAGCATTTTTAATCATTTGACTAATGTTTTCAACTATCTAATGAAATCAAATGTTGACATATTTGGCAGGGACAGGTTAAGGAGTTCATCTCCTGCGTGAAGTAAAGGGCTGCCTTGTCCAAACTTTGTTCCTAATTAGCTAAGCTCTATGTTGACTTGTCCCTGATTGACAACTTGACAGGTACATATCTTTTCCTTTTTAAATAAGGGCGTAATGATATTTCCCCCTCTTTTTCAAAGAAAAATTGCACATAAGCTATGTCCTAAGGTGAACCAATTTGTGCATCCTATGTGTTTTGGTTTAGACTTATATTAGTGGGTCCAAGACAGTAGACGATTAGGTACTGAAGTGCATAGCCTTTACTTCTTCAAGCACACAAACAGAACATTGATATAGATTAACTTTATGATGCTTCAAGCTAAGTAGCTTCTGTTATTGCACAATTGACTGTCACAACGCTGAGGGCTTTTAAGGAAAGATGGTTCCACCGGATCTGATTGTTTGGTTAGTAAGCTTGAAATCCTTTACTTAAAACCCTGTTAACTGAAGAAAACCAAGTCGTCCAAGTCTATTTTGTAAGGAATGTGAGTCATCACTGGCAGACAATTCCAATCAGAGCTTTACAACTGTCTTAGACTTGGCCTGACCTACGATAAACTATTTCTAATACTAAAAACAAGATTACTAAGTCTCCCTGGATCACACTACTCACTAGGTCATGGAATATGCTTGCATTGAAAAAAAAAAGCATCTTTGTGGCTGCATGCTTGTTGGATATTACCTCCATGTTATAATATATGACGCTGTTAACTTTTTGACCAACGTTTGGCCATTCATCTTATTCAAAATTTTTGTGTAAATATAAAAATATTTATGTCATACTTAAAGAACATTTGATGATAAATCAAGCCACAATAAAATAAATGATAATTATATAAATTTTTTTGAATAAGACGAATGATCAAACTTATCTCAAAAAGTCAACGGCATCATATATTAAAAAACGGAGGGAGTATATATTAGCAAAAGGATTAAGAAGTGCAACAAGATGAGAAGAGTTAATAGAAAGTCTTGACCCCGAGGCAGGGCAAAGAATGTGACACTACTTGCAAACAGAGAAGAGATGCCATGAAAAGCCAAACACAAAAGATAACTGACCTTTCTCTAGTTGTCACCACAGTATATGCTACTCCCGATTAGAAGCAATTCCTTTGACCAATCCGGCTACGTGAACGCGCTAATTGGCCTGCACTGCCTTGGCTATATTGGATTGCCAAACCTTTATGCAAAAGTGAAAAAAGACCAAATCAAAAGGGGAGAGAAAAATGCCATTGCCACCATGTATGAACATAGGATGAACAAAGGGTAGCCGCAATTTCAGTTATAGTTGAGAATGAACAGAGTTTGTACTTTCTACTCATGGAATCGTATGAGCACCGAGTACGTACCTCATGGTACTTTTCTTGCTTCAGTTGCATTGCCTCAAGAGGCACATAACTAGCTTCTGTTAGATTTTTCCTTCGATTAAAAACCAGCTTCTTCTAGACTACTCTAGATTCTAGAACCTAAGACATACAGGAGACTTTTGGATTATAACCATTTCTTTTGAATCTTTTTTTTAATACGCAAAAAACTCGCATATCTTTTATATTAAGGAAGGAGTTTGTATACACCGCGCTAACTATAAAAGAGAAAACAACAGAAAAAGGGGAAAACTCAGAAGGCTACAGTAGGTCTATCTCCTGCAGCCGATTTTCCCGACTAAAGAGGGGCGACGTGCTTGCGTTAGATGGGTGTTCTGGCCATGCGCCCGAGCGCAGGTTCTTTTGCCACGTCTCGAGCCACCTCGGCCTAGGTTCTAGATTGGTTGTTTAAAACGACCCTGTTTCGCTCCTTCCGAATGATTTATTCTAATATAAATCGGTGAAATTCTAACGCTTTAACCCATCCTAATAGTTTCAAAAATATTGTGTGCTATTACAAGAATGGGTATTTTTTAAGGACCAAATCAAACTTTTAAATATATCCCAATACCCAGGGTAAAATCAAGGGTTCTTCTATTGCAGACTACAGCAAGAATATGGGATATCATAAAATTGGCATGGATATTACATCGTGGATTAATTTAACTGAAACAAGTTAATTGCTATATGCGTGCGGTAATTTACATAAACATCAGGTAATGCATAGCAGTGGTGTCTATGTAAGTCTAGGATAAGAGAGGTTACCGCTGCAATATACCTTGCTTGCC